AGATTCGGTGTATGCTCTTAACCTTCTTCGTCATCTTATTCTTCATATTCATTCTGATGCTTATCGGAGGTATTCTGGGATATGTGTTCAGGAATCAGGTGATTGTCTTGTCTTATGCCTCTTAGACTACAAAGTGTTTAGTAATTAATGAATGTGTTTATTATTATAATGTTAAGGTTGACGATCGGATGAACAGAGAAATGATATCAACTGTTGCTCTCTATAACAACGACACTGCCGTCACTGATGTGAGACATTCATTAAATCATACATTTGAATGCTTTAGAAAACTATTGATTTTTCATGAAATCCATTATATCTATTAGTATTATTAGAGTATTACTCTTATTTTTTGCAACATTTACCTGTATATCGTATTATACATTTTCATGCAATTTGCATATTTAAAATAATTTGTTGTTTCTTTTCTCTCAATAGGCCTGGGATTCCGTTCAAAAGAATGTAAATAATACCGAAGAATCTGTAATCCTTTACTTTAATTTCATAAATCATTTTCTTATGAATTACAGTTCAGATGTTGCGGAATATCAGTGAACGGCGCCAAAGGATATCAAATATATCAGAGACAGAACAGACCCTCATTTGGCGGCGGGACGGGCAAGGATAAGGTGCCCAAAAGTTGCTGTAAGGATCCCAATGCTAACCAAGAGCGCACCTGTACTCAAAATCCCGATGATTCACTACAAGTGTATCAAGAGGTACACAATATTTGATTTTCTTTTGCTATCTAAAAGTTTTCAATTCAATTTATTTACTATGAGTTTTTTATTTCTATTTTTTATTAATTATGTAATTAATTATTTAATGACAGTTAATTTTATTTTAATTTGTTATTACAGGATTGTTACGCAAAAATGAAGGACTTTGTAAAAGTAAGTGTTTTACTATTAATGTACTTTTTAACATCGATTTAATGTTCAAATACATTTGTAGGGACATGCATTACTTGTTGGTGGTATTGGTATAGGAATTGCCTGTATATTAATAATTGGTATGTTTTTATTTATATATAATTATAGTATAATTAAAGCAATTGGTTTATTGTAATAAGTGCTAGATCGATTTAATACATGTGATATAAATGATAATTCAAAGTAATTTAGATTGACGTCAAATTTAAATAGTATTTGTGAACCTTTAAATACAGTAGATATTATGGACTTAAAATATAGGCTTAAAATATAATATCCTTATTACAGTTATCCCTGAAAACGGCGTTAAAACAGTTATTTGAATACCGAAAATGTTTTAAAAATTTTCACACAAAAGTCAGTTACAAAGCAAATGTATTAATGAATGTCAAGTCATAAAAGTTTGTA